ACCTTCCATTTTACCTTAATTATTTTAAAATTTATTATTTGATTAATTATAAGTAATTTTCAATATGCCATTCAATACTATTTTATTCATAAGGAGTCCTTAGTTCCTGACTATCAGCTATTAGAGCTCAAAAGGAAATCACGTCCACTGTCCTGCTTCACCTGCTCCACTACATGCAATAAGAAATGAGGATTTTATATTTTTCAATCACTGTATTTCAGCCTGAATCAGCATCTGCCATAATAAAAGAAGAAACTCAAAATAAAGTGTGAGAAAAGTAAAAAGAAGTTTTCATTTAAGTGATATTACTAATGAAAAAACTAAAGAAGGTGTTTGGCAGAAGGTAGTAGGGCAGCTTTTCACACTTCAGAATATTTCCAAAGTTCCCAAAGAAAATGAGATTATAGACTAGCAAACTGAACCAAACCAGATTTTGTTATCAGATGTCATCGGAAGTCAGCACAGAGTGCAAATTTGCAAAAAACGTTTTTTATTTTTTTTAGATACAGAGTGCAGTCTCCCAAATCTAAAACAAAACAAATATAAAGAAAAAAATAGATGGAATGGAACAAATAGTTTAGCTATGAAAATCTATAGAATACATTTTAAGCATCTCAGGCACTATATTTAGCTACTTAAGTATGAATTTAAATTTTCAAACTGTTACATGTTAATCACTTATTTGTCTCATCAAAGGTCGCATTACTTAAGAAGAAAGCAAATACAATGCTATTTCAATCGTAGTAGGGTGAGTTCAGCTTTGCTGTCTCCATTAGAGTGCAGCAGAACTGCATTAGATCTAATATATTTAAATTTTTCATTAGAAATAAAATTCAGTGTAGGAAAAGAAACAGAATTAAATTTAATCTTATTTTTACAGATCACTTAAAAATGAGGCATAAATGACAGCTAAAGAGAAAAGAAAAGACTGTGAGGGACAAATTAAAGCTGGTTGCAGGGGCTGCTGTTTATTCCTCCAAAGGCTATTCATTGCAGATGCCTTGGCATTTTGTGGGCACCACACAATAATGCAGTAATGCCAGAGGTGCACATCGTAGCACCCAGTCTTAATTCACTGCACCCAAAGCTGTCCACACCAAGGTTAAAATGCCATCCAGACCTCCAGCTCTGAAAAGCATCCTGGAAACACCTTTCCATACCATCCTGCTTAAGTTCTTACCCTACCTAGATTCCTTCCTATGCACAAAACATCAAGATTCCTCTCCCTGAGAATAAGATAAGGATCCCTAGGGGCCCGGTTTGCCTTCTGAGCTAAATGTATGGTCCATCATGGACACAGATTTGAAAAACATTTTGTGCAGCAGTAAGCAAGTTCATTGGATGGTTCAAGTCAGGCTCATCCCTGGCTTCTGTCCTTTTGGCAGTGAGGAGATGCTGGCACATATTTTCTTTATGTGTGCCACGCTGCAGTCCCACTAGCAAACATTTCTCACTCCTTTACTTTTATCCTCCTTATCAAAGACCACACCAAGTCCTGAGACGTTCTCATCAACACCCATTAGCCCTTGCCAAAACTGCAGTCCATGGGCCCTGGAGAAACAAGCTCATCAAGGCCCCATTTGTCAATTCTTGTCCCACCACATCTTTAGGAAGTGCATTCCTGGTTACTGTGCACCAGCTCTGAGCACTTTTAGGATGTGCTGAATGCCATTAGGAGTGTTCTGTCTTACACTCCCCTTAGCTCCCCTCTTTTTTTTTGGTACATTTTTGTCTTTCAGCCCTCTTCCTCTTCCTCATTTGCCATCCAGTCTATTAAGTTTTCTGTTTCTGTTGCCCACCTTCTCTTTTTCCTTTGGTTTTATAAACAAGAGAAATATTAAGGTCTGTAGAGGTGGTCTGGTTTCTGCACAATAGAGAAAACTCAGTGGCCATGAGGGGCAGGGTTGCTGTCCCTACATACCCTGCATGGCAGTGAGAAGGGACAGCTGGCTCAGCAGCACATCTCCTGTGCTGCCTTCTCCATCCCGTTGGAGAGGGAGACTGCATCCTGCTCTGACACCAAACCCTGCACCACCAGTGCCACCACTGCATCATCTCTGCTGCCACCATTCCCACCTGCACCACTGACCTGCATACCTCTCTGCCCCAACAGTGTGGGGCTGCAGCAGGGCACCTCTCCCCACAGCTGGCAGCCACACCTCCAGGAGCTCAGTGCTGGGAAGAACCAGCTGCTATTCCTGCGATGGGGATGGGCAACCTCAGGCAGACATACTGCTAAATCCCATCTGCATGGAAGGGAAGTCTGGAAAGTATTGTTAAAAATCACATATTACATTTGTACACACACATAAAAACCCCCAAATTAAAACTCAAATAACCTCAACACAAGATAATGAAGCTTCCAAATAAAAGGTGCATGTTTGTCACACTGAAAGCATTACTGATGCTGAGAAGGACTTCCGTGACAAAAACAATTTGTATGAAATCACGCAACTTTACAAAATATATACATATGCAACTATATACTACTACTTTTACTAAAGTAACAGTAGTAGTATGTAATTTTTCTTCCTTCCGTTTGTTGGCAACAATCATTCAGAGTTTGTAGCTTCTGTAGCTACGTCTGTTAAATGTGTCACACACAAGGAAGTCATTATGCAGACTTTCCACATAAGCAATAAGTATTAATTTGACTGTGGAAACCAAGACAACCTCCCTCATCCTAATTTACACAAGCATGCTCCAAAGAATCCTAAGTATTCCTAAATCTGTTCTGTAGTGTAATCAGTCTCTGGCATTCTATACAGTCTCATGGTTACAAGCAGCAAAAAGCACGAAGGGCTTTAATTAAAATGTGCTTTGAACATTATCTGTGAAAGAAGAGGCCACTAAGAAGACATTGTGCTCCGGACCAAATACTGGATTGTAATGGAGCCCTCTTGGCGGCACCACTGCTTACAAACTGCTAACATCCTACCCTAGATTCACTTATCTGGAGAAAACACTGCTCACAGCCAGGCCTCACCTCCTCGGCACCTCTTGTGTGCAGGATGCTGCCAACACTTCTGATCTGCCAGCATAACCACCCACAACTGATCTAGTTACAACACACATTAGAATCTGGCTATAGATGAGTGTCACAGAAACCCCTCCACACCAGTCCAACACAAGTGTTGTACCAAGTGTTGTACAAAGTGTAGATTTGACTCCAACCCAGACACAGCTGAAAGCTCAGCCAGCTTCACTCAGCAGTTTCCTGGGCCCTAGGAGACTGGTCTCTGAAGTCAGTGGAAGATCTTCTGACTGGAAAATAAAAGTTTTTTGTTCTCAGTGACCTAAAATAAAACTGTAAAAGTTAAAGAAATGTTGTAAATTCCTAGTATAACCATTTCTGACATTGACATATACTGTGGGATCCAAAATGCCAGAGAAATGTATTTATTATGAGCTTATTTGGTCTCAGCTCTCAAACTGTAATTGTTTTTTAGTATGTGCAATTCTAGATGCATTAAGCATAAACAGAGTCAGTATTATAAATTCTTGACTCTTTCCTGGTATAAAAAGGGATATAAAATTATCTGGAAAAAATCAAACAGTGAATGTTCCAAAGCTATAAAAAAGCAAATTAATGAATCCTTAAACATTAAATCACCAGCATTCCCTCATGTTACATTTCTCTAGAGAAATGATCTCCACTAACTTCTTCCCTTTTCAAACAAGATGTACACCACAAGATATTAAGGAATGGAAATAGAGCAGAAAGAGAATTGCAGGATTTCCTTGGATCTGTAAGGAGAGATTTTTGAAATACTATTTAACTGAGATAATCACAGAGCTACAGGTGTTCACTTTAAGATATGTTTTGCAATCTCTTCTTCAAAACCATAATCCATTTTAACAAGTTACAGTCTTCATAGACAAATATGTTAGGTCCTGATTCAAACATAGCTGAAATGAATGTTCACTGAAAACTATCCTCAAGTGAAATCAAACAATGGACTCAATTAGCTAACAAAAAAAAAAAAAATCAACAGAAAATAAAGGATTAAAAGTTTTAAGCATTAACATCCTAAACATTACTCTAATTGTGAAGATGTATTTCTAAACTCAACTCTTCACATCATGCACCAATATAATGCAGTGGCTCAGTTCAAAACCCAACAAAAGAACATTGATGAATATTTATGGAGAAGGAATTAAACATTTTCATTTCTGGCCCAAAACAATTGCTCAGATAAAAAATAAAGATCATTTCATATAATTTAAGTTAGCAATTACACTTTCAGAGCCTGAAGCATGGTTCTACAGCCACTCAGTTGCTCTAAACTCCTTAAGTACCCATTCACAGTAATTGGGAGGAAAAACTGGGGATCCAGCTTTTTCCTAATTTGACAAGCACTCGAGATAAAAGTGTCACTTTCTAGTTTGTTTGGGGGTATTTCCTTTTAATTTTTTTTCTTCTTTTCTAAAAGTTCAGAAGATAATAAGAATGGTTTGAACAAAGGTTTAAGATTGACATTTAAAACAGAGCAATTTGGTGTCCCTGAATTCCCAGAAGCTAAGCTAGTTCTGGCAGTCATCTCTGGTAACCTGCTCTTCTACTAAGGCACAGACAGACATACAGGCACACATGAGTACAGCTTCTCAGCAGAAAGAAACAAATTGATTAAAAATACATTTGTGCCTGACTTAGTTTAAATCACTCACTGCCCATAGACACAACACTGACTGGGCAAGGGTAATACCTGGCATCTCAAACCTTACTCTAATGAATAAAATTCCAATATATGGGCTGTTGCAGGACCATCCCAGAGGTGCAGAAGACAGGGCTAAATTCAATTCTTGCAGCTGACATCCTGGAAGCTGGGGGCCAGCCATTTCTTTAACTTCAATTAGTACCACCTAGAGAAGAAGAAGCACCTCACAGGTCGGAATGAGGGGATTGCAAACCAGGGATGCCTTATCTAGAGAGGTGCTTTACCTTTCATCAGCCTTAGCCCAAGTTGCAGAGAGCTGAAGGGGCAGCCCAGCTTTCCTACCTGTCAGCACTGAGGGCAGTGAGGGTGAAGACAGAGACACCAACAGAGGTCAGCTGGATGACAGGGATGAGCTTGCAGCCCACTTCTCCAAAGAGCCACTCTTCAGAGAAATACCGGGAGGCATCCACGGGCACACAGGTCACTAGCAGGAGCAGATCACCAGCAGCGAGGCTGGAGATGAAGATGTTGGGCACACTTCTCATGGCGCTGTTGGAAATGAAGATCTTCATGAGGGTGATGTTGCCCAGCAAGCCCACAGTGATGATGAGCAGGTAAAGCGAAGGGATCACGCAGCGGATGATGAACACGGCCGTGCCTCTCCCCGGAGACAGCAGGGCTGTGTCGGGCACCAGGCGCACACTCCCATTCTCCCCGAGGGGCATTGCTGTGAGCTCGGGCGGGGGCTCTGGCTCCATCCTACAGCTTCGCGCGGACTGAAGGTCTCCAGTGCAAAGTGCAGCGGGAGCCACAGCAAAGCTTCACCTCTCTGCAAGTCAATCAACTTTCTCCCCCTCCTCTACTGCCTTTCCTCCTATCCTCCTTCTCTGGCGAGTTTTCTCCCTTAAGAAATGCAGAAGAATGTCTGCCGGAGCAGTGGCCGGGGAGGGAAATAAAAACTCCCGTGCGCTGTCCCTCGGCTCTTCGGACTAGCCTCTCCCGGTGGACAGGAGATCCTGAGCCTGGGGGCAGAGCACGCCGTCGGGACACCCGCTCCAGCCCACGCCCCCGGGAGCGCCCTCGGTGCGCCGCCGCTGCCAATGCGCGCTCCGGCCGCCGCGCCGCCCCCGCGGAGCCGCCAGCGCTGTCCAGCGCCGCCGATGCTGCCGGGGGAGAGGAGCAGAACAAACCCGCTCCCCACTCACTCGGCAGCCCCGGCTTATACCTGGTAGGGCGAGGGGCCGCCCCGCCCCGCCCTCGCCCCAGCCCCGCGCCGCCGAGGGGGATCTTGCGGGGGAGGCAGAGGCGGATCCGGGAGCCGCCGCCGTCCCGCGGGTCCCAGCCCTGAGCGCGATGGGCACGACGTGGTGAGCGGGAGCGGAGAGGGAAACCGCTCTCCCCGCCGCTGCCCACCGCGAAGCAGCCCCCGCCAGGCTCTGCCCGGCAAACCGGAGAGCTGTCCGACACGTCGGACAGAACGCAGGATCGCCTCCGGAAACTCGTCTTCCAGCGTCTTACTCAGGTGAAACCACAGTGCTTTGAAACGCAGGGAGCGAGGGGCGTGAGAATGAAGAGAATTTATTCCTGACGTCCAGCTGTGGGGTGTGCATAGATCTTACTCAAAGACATCAGCTGTGTTTAAAGTTTTAAGGTTTGATTTGTGAAGCTGCATTTCACAGTGGTCTTGACTATGGAAAGGGGGATAGGTGATGTATTTTATCTATTACTTACTCTGCAAATGGTATAACACAGTGGAGAATGAATTTTGTTTGCCTCTTTGAAGAGTAGAATTTGTTTCTAATGCTTCTTGATTTTCAGGGAGATAATGTCTTTTACTTCTGAGTATCTGCACGTGTATAGGCTTTCCAAACAGCTCCATCTGTTTCCAGCAGAAGCCATGAATGTAGGTAGTCGTGCAAATATGCTGCAAGACAGGCAGACCCGTTGGACTGAATTTTTCAAGATAAAATGTTTAAGTAGAAGAATACGAGCATTATCCAGTAACATGCTCCGCAGACTGATTCCTGTATTTCTTTTTCTCAAAAGAGAGAATTCATGAGCTTGTAGAGAACTAGCTTGCTCATACTACTACAGCAGTTCTCTTGAAGCACTGTGAGTTTATGACAGGTCTATGGAGAATCTGAGCACTGATATATCAGAAGCAAAGCATGACACATGTGCATGGCCTGTCCATGGCATGCTGTCTAGTGTAGGAATTAAATCAGTGATTTCTTCTTAAATAATGTTTTACTAAGATTATATAAAAAAAGAATTAAAGAATTAAGCAATGTTTCTTTCAAGTTACACTTCTCTGTATCTATTCATTGATCGTTGTGACTCGTCTCACATCCCTGAACACATAAATGTGTTAAAGTTGCATAAATTACTGATTCATATAATGCTGAGTAATTTGTTTGAACCCAACCAGTGCTAGGCCTAAGAAAGGATCAGGCTAGATGCTTCACCTTTACCACCAAGCAGCTCATCAGAAACATCACAGAGCTCCTCTGGAGGTGATTCTTGTTACTGATCAAGTTCCTTCCACACAGCTTTAAATTCAGCTATGTTCCCTCTGAGGCAGCCTTACTGATGGCTTACATATTTATATAAATCACTGTGACCCTCTATTTTGTTGAGCATACGTGAAATTTTCTAAGATCAACTGTAGCCATGTTTCTGTTAACAGTCCAAATCCCTCTTTTTGGTTCCCATTGGCTGGATCCAATATAGGTCTTTAACTCTGTGAGTTTAACACTGGGAGTATGGTTCTTTTGCTAATTTGTTCGAAAATGGGTTTATATATCAACAGACAATATGATTCCCACTGGGAGAATAGTTTAAATTCAACTTGTCTTTAATATTGATTTTCTTGGGACAAGAGGTAGCTGAGTCTTTTTGCATGAATATCAACAAAAGAACCCTTTAGAAACTTCTATTGATATAAACTTGGTGCAGTTTGCATGGAGAGAGGTGAGACTCCTTGCTTTTTGTTTCACAACACTACCACTCCTACTGCTGCCTTTCAGGAGAATTTCTTCTATCCTAGTTAATTTTACCTGTCCTTTAGTCCACAGGATAGAATTCCTAAGGTTGAAGAATCAGAAACATTTTCAGTGGAAACATATTCCTGATTTTTATCAGTACTTGATTTTATCTACTCCATGTTTTTTAGAACTCTAACAGCCAGGAAATAAGCTTTGAAGAAAGTGAGTGGCTCCAGCTCAGGGAAGACAGACAGTCAGATAATGCATCTACTGCAGTATAAATACAATTCAACCAGCTATCATATTCAACCAGTATGAATATGATTTCCTGCAGAGGCAAAAAGGCGTGGGTGGGGAAGATCCACAGACCCTGGCATAAACCAGTCAGAATTCAGATCTCCATATACAAACTGTTCATCATTCTCTTTTCAAACAAGAGTCCACCCATGCCTAGGTGCCATTTCAGATTACAGCCTAGAGACAATTTAATTGTGGAGCTCTGACACAGTACTTGGCACAAGAGTGAGGGAGTGCCATAGGTGAATCTCCCCAGTGGGAAAGAAACTGCACAGGCACAATCAGAATCACATCACCACAGATGGAGTGCAACACCACAGGGGAGAAACCACAACAACTTGGAAATGTGAGAGGGAAAACTTCATCAGTAATTCCCAAGTGTAGGAATTCATAATCAGTTCATGTAGGAATGAGGAGCTCCACACATCTCACAAACGCCCTCTACCGAGAAGTGGGTCTGACAGGAAAAAACACTCTTTTCACACGTTTATGCAGCTCAAGGCACTTGATAATTCCAGGGATAATTCCAGATTTGCACATCACAACATGTGTAGTCCCATGAAGAGCCAAGCATATCTGCCACCAAAACTACCTGCAGTAAGTAGCCCTTAAATAAGTATGTGTACTTGCACATTAAATGAAAACCGGGTTCAAATGGAGCCCTGGAAGTGATCATGTTTGAAGGCCTGATTGTCAGTCAAATTTTAAAAAGAAACAAAGCAACAACCAAGGAACAAATACTACCTGAATTTAAATAATGAGCATTAGGAACTAAACCTTCAATAAATTTTGTAATATCACTCATTACAACAGTAGATACAGCTGGGAAGTGGGCATGCATTGTAGCAGACAGCAACTTCTTCCAGGCAGTCAAAAGTACAATAACCTAAAGTAACTCACAGGTTTTTTTCTTATTATTTCAATAGAAGCTTTCTTATTTTGATGGGGGGACTCTGCAAACCAAAATAGAAATTCAGGTGCTTGCAGCGCTAGACAAAGCTGGAAAGCTAGCAGAAGTGGCTTTCTCCAATATTCATGCAAGTTCTCTTTTGGGAAACAAAACCTTATCTCGTTGATATCAATTCAATTTTTTGTACCATTTTCATGGTGCTGGTTTTATTTATGGCACGAGGGTAACAGGTGCCATTACCTTTAACCACATTAATAAAGGAATAAATCGGGTGCTTCATGTTAAACACACAGGTCATCCCTCTAAGCACAACTGTAGCTTTATGCATGTATTTACATTCCATTTATTTTACTGTATTCATTCAGTAGAACTTCAATTCATTAAAAGGTTAAAGAGCACATCGCTGAGCTCCCAACTGGAGTCAATATCCAGGCTTCAGACTCACTCAGAAACAAATGTGATATCAATATCTTCCATCCCATTTGTCCATGATAGACAACTAACAGACAGCTGCTCCTACACGTTCAAGACAAATAATGATTTTCTGTCAAGGAAGTATCAAGGAATGGCTTGAGTTCCCTCTGCACTCAAAAGGACTGCACAATGCCAGCTTACTCTACTTCCATCTCTAGTTATCTTCCTAATGTGGTGTTAAGAAGCACATTATTGAACACACATGACAAAAGAAAAATATTGCTATTAGTTCCTCCTAGTGCGATGATAATGGGATTCCTGTGCTTGAGCTCACATGACACTGGTGCCACTTCAAAGAAAGTGACAATTTTATGGGGGGCCCATTCATCACACTCACTGGAGTTTTACTGCAGACACCCATAGGGTTTGTATTGGGTTTATCTGACAACCTCTCCAGAATTAATTTGTTTTTTATATTTCAGTGCAGCTGCATTCCTTATGTGTTCCTATAAAAAAAAATCAGAGCATGGCCAGCTAAGTCTTCTTTCAGCAGCTTTATCACATGACAGAGATTCAAGTTTCTATATTGTTACTGAGGTTGATTGTTGATTGTCTTGTATTAGACAATCCAGTCAGGTAAGTAATCATATGATTCTCACCTAAAAATAAAAAAGATACAAAGTAACATTTGTATTGTGCTGATTTTTACCTAAATGGTGTTCTGAAATATGGTTTCTATTTATAGTGGAATAAAATGTTGACCAAACTTTATGGGTTCACATTAATCAATTAATGTGCAAATAATCACTACTCTACCAAGCATGACAAAAAGCTTTGAAAGATCTATCTCCATTTAGAAACTAGGAGTTGTTAAGTTTTTCGATGGTGTTTTTCAACATTTCTATTTTAAGAAATCCTACTAAACACAAACACAACTACTTTTTGAGGTACATTCAACAGCAGATTTTCAATAGGCATTTCACATTTTAAAATAATTAAATTACTGAAATATTACTAACATTAAACATGCTGAACTAATTTAGTCATTTCATAGTATTGTGGGAGCACTAGAATTGCATTTGGACGATAATTAAGTTCCATATGTATTGAAAAACTATTCACTGTAACCAAAATCACTGCATTTTGGTCAAGGTCAGTCACCACGCTGAGAATCACAGTACTTTACTGCAGATCACACACCACTGAGAGACATTATTGCTTTTAGTTCATTTGACATACACAAACCTCAGCGTTCTCTCTATGCAACAGAGCAGCAGATTGCATTAAAAACGTTTGGAAACCCAGTCTGGGTGCTACCGATACAGCACCTCTACAGTACTCCGTGAGACAGACATTTAATTAACTGCCTGAACTAGGGGCTGCAGTAAATAACATGTACTTATTGGAGCACTTTTCACCTTCTTTCAGTAGATGCAGGGCGGGTTCCCTTTACAAAAGGCGTTCTGATGTCTTACAACAGTTATTTCAACCATATCC